TTGATTCAACTGTTCATATTCGATGTCTATTCCGCGTATAATCAAACATTGAAATAGGGTTTCATTTCTATTCCAAATCATCTATTTACATTTGTGACGATGAAATTCGAGATCCGTTGGAAACTAGATCTATCAGTTTTTGTCGGTATTATTCATAAGCTCTTGGTAGTTATTAGCGTAAAATATGACAAAATATTTCGAAGAGTAATTTTAGCTCATTAAAGTATGATTCTGTATTTATACACGACATAAGATAAGGATATATAACCATCAACGTAAACTGAATAACAAAATCATCCAATTTTTGTTGTTATAAAGGAAATCAAAGGAACATAACTGTTATTTTAAGCATGAGATACATGGTGAGTTTAACAAACTTTACTGATCAAGTGATATTTCACGAAAGCGTCCCGAGTGCGTCCACTAACTCACTAACCAGATTCCAAATGTAAATCGATGCGTAACTATACTACGGTAAAGAACAAGAAGGGGAAACAGTCACTTGTGAGAACCCGTATCATTCAGCTACTGTATAAGCTGTCATTAAGCTATTGCTAAAGGAAGATATAAAGTCACTTGTGAGACCCGTATCATTCAGCTACTGTATAAGCTGTCATTAAGCTATTGCTAAAGGAAGATATAAAGTCACTTGTGTGTATAAAGTCCCAGGTACAAAAATCAAGATACTTTTAGATAAAGCAAATGTTCCAAATATTTCGCTCAACATTTCTTTCTCCTTCTAGTTTTTTTTTCTACGACAATATTAAAAAAAAACTTGGTTAAGTCCAAGCTGGCTAATCAAGTAGCTGTTGCAAGTTCTCCACAAGAAAAGTGTTTGGCATTTTCATGTCAACACCTCAAGTGGAATGATGATGACAGAAAATACAACAGATCTGTGGACTGTTTTAAATTTTATGAGTTTTTTTCAATAGATGGACTTGAGATTGTTTCATTGAGAATCGGCTTGTTGTGTGTCAAGTTAAAAGCCATCAAATATCTAAAAATGGTATACGTGACACAATTTGATAAGAAGGTGTAAGTGCATCTCTTAAATTATTCTATAAGATTGTTACTTGTGATGTCTTTTGTTGTTGTAGTATTTGAAAAGTAACTGTTGATCGTTATGGAGGAACTTTTTAAAAACATCAAGATCGTCGTCACTAGCCTGAAATGTGAAGAGGAACCATCAAATTAGTTCATTTTGAGTGACCAGAAAATATAACTTTGTTTACATAAATAATACGCAAAGTACGATATACTCCAGATATTTCTATTCATCTTCACCTCGTGATTTTAAACCCTTCACAAGTCAAAATCAGTTTATTTGTCGTGTTAATATCAAAACACTTGGATGCTATTAACATCATAATTCTTCAAATAACAAGTAAAATACAACAATATATAAAGTACTCAAACAATATACATGTAGATTCCATTATTTCAATGTTACTCTCAACTTTTTAACCAATAGAAATGTTGCAAAAACTGACCACTACACTACAGATAATGGCGATCTACAAATCTATAGAGTTCTATGTATTTCGCAACTATACATACCACATACTCCACACAGGCAACATATACAGCAGGTTAGAAAGATGCACCAGCGATTGAAGAGGGAAAAAATCAAACAGTTCTGAGGCGTGGATTCTGTCATTAATGTTATTGTTTTGTGTAATCAGACGGCTTAGATATCGGGTTTAAAATGCAAGCCATATAATAAATAAATACTTCTGATTCTGGTGATGTTAATAACGTAACAAAACAACAACAACAACATTATATTTTGAATTTAACTAATTTGTTTTTATCTCTTTCTTACCAACCTAGGTCCGGCTCGCAATCTGAGGGTCACGGGTTCGAATCCCCGTCACACCAAACATGCTCGCCCTTTCAGCCGTGGGGGCATTATAATGTGACGGTCAGTCCC